ATAGTCTCCATTCTAGTTCCTTCTTGGGGTTACCTTCGAGGATCCAAATTTGTTTATAGACTTGGTTAAACGACAAAAGAGACTGCAATGGAGACTAGAGGCAGAGTCGGGGGCTTGCGAGTGCCGGGACTTTGGAGTTCAAAGGCTTAGCCACGAGGCTCAGTCTGAAGAGCTTGAGGGCTTTGAGCAAGTACCCTAAACCCTAAAGCCTAAACCCTAAGGCCCAAACCCTAAACTTTAGGCCCTAAGCCCTAAAGTTTAAACTGTAAAGCCTAAACCCTAAACCCTAAACCCGAATTGAGCGCAGGGTTCCTTTCAGGGCTCCCTCAACTCCCTTATGCAGGGTGTAACAGGGGGTTTCAGGGGGGGTCGAGGGTTGAGGGTTCGGGACCTTGGGGTTGGGTTTAGAGGCTCGGGGTTTAGGTCTTTACGTTTGACGACGAGATGCAAGAGAAAGCTGAGGCGAGGTGTGGACGTATCTTGCGTGCAGTTGTTTTCAGGCTTTCCACTTGCAACTACAACGTCCTAGACCCACAACCTTAAACCCAAACCCAAAACCCAAAACCACAAGCCTTGAACTTCATCCCTAAGCCGTTAGATGTCCCTAGGCCCTTAGATCTCCGGTAGGTTTAGGGTTTAGGGGTTTAGGGTTTAGGGTTCAGGGTTTAGGGTTTAGGGTTTAGGGTTTAGGGTTTAGGGTTTAGGGTTTAGGGTTTAGGGTTTAGAATCCTTTAGGACTCCCAAGTCCGAGCTTTTCCCCCAAAAGTCATGGCTTGGGGAGCCTAGGGGTTTAGGGTTTAGGGTTTAGGGTTTAGGGTTTAGGGTTGTTCCCGAAAGACTCACCGCTAAAGCCCTTATACTGTAGCCCTGCCTTTAGGCTCCATGGTAGTTTCGTTTGGTGGTCTATATTCAGGATCCTACAAGGTTAATCCCAAAAGGAGAGAAGAAGCTGCAATGCAGCCTATGGGTAAACCCCGAACACCCTATACTCCAAATCGTTGACGAGTAACCGTAAACCCTGAAACCTAAAGCCACAAGCTCAAGATCTCAGGACCAAACCCAGGAACCCTAAGCCCTAAACCAAGGAACCCTAAACACCAAAGCCCAAAGCCCTGCACCCGAAAACTAAAGCCCTAAACCCTAATGAGGCCCTAAACACCACAGCGCTGAGCCCTAAACCCTCAGTCCGGAGAAGATTCTTCGTCACCTTGAAACCCTAAACCCTCAAGCCTAAACCCTAACTCTTAAGCCCTAAGCCCAAAACCCTAAACCCCAAGCCCTAAACCCTAAACCCTAACTCCTAAACTCCAAGCCCCAAACCCTAAACCTTAAATCCTAAACCCTAAACCCTAAACCATCCCAAATGCGCCTTCGTCACCATGAAATTCATGCCGCCATTGGCTGCGGTAAAGCCCTCCAGGTCATAGACCTGGGGTGTCAGGATTTAGGGTTCAGGGCTTTAGCATTTAGGGTTTGTAGGAAGTCAGCTAGTTCTACGGCGCTCTAACATGTCTTATATGAATTCTGCTAGGGTTTTTTTGAAGGGTTCTGCAAGCGCATGAGAGGGTTTAAGGAAAGGGTTCCGGATGTTGTGTAGTCAGGTCTCGGAACTCGGGTTGAGGATGAGGGTTTAGGAATTTGGTTTAGGGTTTAGGGTTTAGGGTTTAGGGTTTAGGGTTTAGGGTTTAGGGTTTAGGGTTTAGGGTTTAGGGTTTAGGGTTTCGGGCTTGGGCGTTGCTCGGCTCTAAAAGG